CAGTCAGACTACATGTAAAATACAAAATTCCTTCTGGACATTACTTTTTAAAATTGACACTGGCAAACTAGAGTTCAACAACTTTATTCTGATTGGGCAGCCAGAATATTAAGAGGTCTGACAATCTTGTCAGGACATACAATTGAAGAATCTGGGATGCTTAACTTAAAAAAAGAAAACAGGTAGGAGGGACATGCCTCAGATATTTGGAGGGCTGTCATAGGAAAGATATATTACAGTCAGTCTGTTTATCACTTAAGGAAACCATATGGGAAACAGATCTTGCTTTAGTAGTACAAGGAAGAAATTTCTAAGAGTTCCATCTGTCCAAAAACAGATTCATTTACCTGCTAAAAAGGGAACACTTCATCATCTTAAGGATCCAAGCAAAACTAAATAATCTGCCAGGGGCTTTGCAAAGAAATTATTCCTGCGTTAGGTAGAACACTAGCATAGATAACTTGAAGAGCCTTTCTGGGTTTAGTATTCTATTTTTCTATGGCCTTGGAGGGTCTTGTTGCCTCCATCTTCAACAGTATCATAACATTTCTTTTCATTAATGTATCTTCTTCCAATTTAATACCTGATGAGGTCTATCTTTGTTCTAAGCCCCCATTGTTCTTAGTTGCTAATGAGGTAGTCCTTCTGTGACAGTTAATTTTATGTGTCAGTTTGACTGGGCTAACGGATGCCAAGATACCTGGTAAAACATTATTTCTGGGTATGTCTGTGAAGGTGTTTACAGAAGAGACTAGTATCTGAATTGGTAGACTGAGTAAAAAAGATGCTCTCACACATTTGGATGGGCATTGTACCATCCGTTGAGGGCCTGAATGGAACAAAGAGGCAGAGAACAGTGAATCTGCTTTCTGCTTGAGCTGGAACAGCCATCTTCTCCTCCTCTCAGACATCAGCACTCCTGGTTCACAGGCCTTCAAACTCAGACTGAATTACACCACCAGCTTCTATGGTTCTCCAGCCTGCAGATCCTGGGACTTCTCAGCCTCCATAATCACATGAGCCAATTACTATAATCTCTTTGTTACTCTGGAGAACCCTGACTGTTCTGTGAAAGGGCCACCCATATATGCAAAGTTCCCCCCAAATGCCAGAGGAGCTGAGAAATCAAAGAATGAGGTAGAAAAATCCAGTTTGTCAGTAATGGAGGTAACTTACAGATGGAAGTGTGGTCTTGGGCAGCAGCAAGACAGTTAGATCTTTAAACCTGTTACCTCCCAACCCAGAGCTTATATACTACAGTGAAAGGGTATAAGTGCTCTCTATGCAAAACAATTAAAGGCAATCCTCCAGAACAGGCAACAATGCTATATATTTGTCACAGCCTGTAAAATGTGGGATAACATCAAGATTGACATGTTTTTTCTCCAGGGACAGTAAATAAAGTAGGAATCAGGAGGCATTCATGGGACTGAGGATACTCAAAAATCATTATAGTAGATTAGCATTTCAGGTGGAGTCACTTTTGTCTCCACACTAATACAGCTTCTTTATGCTCCTACAATCTGACTTCTATTGCAACCATGGCAGGAAAAAAAGAAACAATCCCCTGTCAAAAGTCACAGCCTGGCTGGGCATGATGGCTCACACCTGTAATCCCAGAACTTAAAGAGGCCAAGGTGGGAGGATCACTTGAGGCCAGGAGTTTGAAACCCACCTGGGCAACAGAGCAAGATCTCATCTCTATTTTTAAAAATAAATAAATGAAGTAAAAGGCATAACCTTTTTGCTGTAATAGCCAGTGGTCCCGAATTATTTTCCTTCTCCTTGACTCTGTAGAGTTATTGTTAACTATCCTTCCTCTATAATTTTTTTGCTTCTCTAATTACTTTCTTCTTTTTCAGTGGCCTTTTTCCTCTCCTTCCACTCATGAATCATAGTGTTTTCCTAAGGCACTAATACTTGCTATGTTTAGATTTTCACTACCATTTTTGATTATGGGATTAGAATAATTTTTAAATCCTTTATTACAATAGGATAATGTCAGTGATACAATTAACACTATGTCTTCGTAATTTCCCTATGTGACAAACAGTGAATACTGATTTGACAATACCCAAATGTAGTTACTTAGTTTTATTTTCCTAGTTGACCTGGGGAAAGTATTTCAAAGTTTATGGTTGTATTTTCCTGACAAACAAGGAGAAAATGCTTCAAATTTTATTTTTTTAAGTTTATCGTGGACGAACTTTACCAGATCACACTTGATAAACTATCAGGGTGGCCATCAATTCAAATTATACATGAGGCAATACTTTATTGCCCTTCATATTTTAAAGTGAGTCTAAGGATAGTGTCACAAATCATGTACAGAGAGCAGCTGAAGATACCATCAATCCTCCCCCATCATCTACACATCAAAAGTCAACTTAAGTTTGTAGACACAATCACAACTACTAGAATATTTTGTAGAGAATGGAAGTTCTATTTCCCAAGTCTACACAAAGCTTGCTCTTCAAAGGAATCCCTCATCTGTTATTAAATAGCCACTTGGGATTCTTACCATTATTCTAGGCATGCACTGTATTTATTAAAGCTCTGCTTAATATCAGATATTAGCCAACACTGAAATATCCTCCACTCAAATGCTTATTACCCATTCAAAATAACTGAAAGTGTAGTTAGAGTATATGGTTGCCAGGTGGAGATATTTAAGTTATATGATCTCAGAGTCTGAACAAATTGTGCGTCCCATCAATGGTCTAGACCAGAGCTGTACAATAAAACTTTCAGTGAAGATGAAGATGTTTTTCTAAACTATCCCATATGATAGCCATGAGGCACACATGACTACTGAGAATCTGAAATGTGCCTAGTGCAACTGAAGGACCACATTATCAATTTTATTTAATATTAATTAATTTACATTTAAATAGCTTCATACATCTATTGAGTACATATGGGATGAAACAAGCCTAGTCTCTAGAAAATATAACCATCAATTATTCTTATGGTTTCCTTTCTTAGGAATAAATGTACATGTTAGTAGCATTAACATAGTACTATTGTGCCAAAGTATAATGCTGCACCAAAACATTCACACTGACTTACTCATATAAAGGACATTCACAGAATACAACAGGTACTACGTACTAGTTGTCATGCTAAGTGCTGAAGAACTTTCAGGAGTTCCTTTAGGAGCTCAGAATATTGAGAGATGCAGTAAATAAGTTAATAAACTACAATATAAACTACAATTCTTGCTATTAAAGTCATCTAAATAAAGAATTGTGGAAACACAATGTATAGAATAAGGTTTCAAGGTTTCATTGAAGACTTTTAAGCTGGGACACCATGAAGAAATATGTTACAAAATAATATGCAGGGATGAGGGTTGCGGGGCATGAGGAAGTGGACAGGCATTCTAGTAAAGATAGGGGGTCCTGAAAAGGCTTGGCGAGGTCAGGATACAGAAGACTATTCTCCATGTGTTGTGCAGCAGCAGAGATGTTGCCAGAAAGTAGGCTTCAGTCTGATTGTGAGAGTCTTATATCGGAAGCCAGAGGTTTGGCAGCCAAGTGGTCACATACTGCCCTAAACTTCCCCTACTGTTAGAATTTTTATGCTTTTATTCTAAGTACTTATCTTTTTAATCTGCTTCATTAGATTTCTAAATGGTTACGGCCAGACCATATCTTCCTTATCCGCATTGTGCTCCATGGCATCTGATAGAGAATTAATAAATGTGTTTTAGGAATGAACGTTTCTGCTTGTTTTGAAGTTTGATTCTCTCTGGAACCACACTACCTACCATCTTCTAAACTACCTCTTTGACTTCTGGTGTTTTCCCTCTTGGTCCATAATCAGGTAGCCATTGTCATTTTCTAGCAGTACTTAGTGCAATGTTTTATGACTGAGTGACCTGTCTTTTAAATAAAGCTGGGGAATTTAATAGACAAATACGTTTATGGCATTGGATTTGAGTTGCCCACAGTAATGTACTTAGATGGAAAAGAAATTGAAATAGTTCCCCTTTACCAACTCTATCAATATATGATTAAAAGGAATATTTTTATTTTAGTTTTTAATTTTTGTGGCTACATAGTAGGTGTATATATTTACGGAGTACATGAAATATTTTGATACAGGCATACAGCATGTAATTATCACATCAAGGTAAATGTAACATCCCTTACCTCAAGCATTTCCTTCGTGTTACAAACAATCCATTTGTACTTTGTTTTTTAAAATGTACAATTGAGTTATTACTGACTATGCTTCCGGAAAGGTGTCCCGATCCAGACCCCAAGAGAAGGTTTTTGGATTTTGCACAACAAAGAATTGAAAGCAAATCCATAAAGTGAAGCAAGTTTATTAAGCAAAGGAATGAAAGAATGGCTATTCCATAGGCAGAGCAACGGCTTGAGCTGCTGGCCTAAAGATACCTACAGTTATTTCTTGATTACATGCTAAACAAGGTGTAGATTATTCACAAGTTTTCCAAGGAAAGGTGTGGGCAATTCCCAGCGCTGAGGGTTCCTCCCCTTTTTAGACCCATATAAGGTAACTTCCATATGTTGCCATGGCATTGTCATGACACTGGTGGGAGTGTCTTTTAAGATGTTAATGAGTTATAATTAGCATATAATGAGCAGTGAAGATGACCAGAGATCACTCTCTTCACCATCTTGGTTTTTGGTGGATACACCAAAAAAAAAAAAATAAATAAATAATAATAATAAAAAAAAGGTGGATACCTGTTTTATCAGCAAGGTCTTTATGACCTGTATTTTCTCCCTGCGGACCTCCTATCTCACCCTGTGACTAAGAATGCCTAACCTCCTGGGAATGCAGCCCAGTAGGTTTCAGTCTTATTTTACGCAGCCCCTCAAGATGGAGTTGCTCTTGTTCAAACGCCTCTGACAACTACAGTCACCCTGTTGTGCTATCAAATAGTTGAAATTATTCATTCTTTCTAACTGGAACAATATTTTTTAAATAGTGAAGAGTGAGATATATGAACTCCAAATATCTGAGCCAGGTCCCAATCAACTCAGAAAGTTTATTTAAATTTTAGGGAGACATGGGACAGCAATCAATACATGTAAGATAAACATTGGTTTGAGCTGGAAAGGCAGGACGACTCCAAGTGGGGAGGAGGGTTCCAAGTCATAGGTAGGTAAGAGACAGTTGCATTCTCTGATGAGCCTTTCCAAAGGAGGAAATAAGACATGCATTTATCTCAGTGAGCAGACGGGTGACTTTGAATAGAATGGGAGGCCCATTTGCCCTAAGCAGTTCCCAGTTTGACTTTCCCCTTTAGCTTAGTGATTTTGGAATCCCAAGATTTATTTTCCATTCACAGATATAAAAGAGAAAGGTACACCTGAGTAAATATCTACTCAACAAGGAAGCAGGATAGATGTTCTCTTTGCTTCCCCTGTTTCCTTGATAGCCATGCGCGCTTATGTTTATATTCCTCATTGTTTGATGAAGCTAATCATCAAAATAAGAACTAGGAAAGACTCTAGAACTCCACAGGAAACCAATTATACAGCCTTTATGACATGCGAATTTATTCACTCTGCAAAAAAAGTAATTACTTTCTGTAGTGTCTCCCATGTATCTCCCAAAAGGCACACGTCTGGGTGCATGTAAAAATTAACACGAAACCCTATACAAAAAGGAATTCTCAAGAGTTAACAGCTAGAGAAGAGAGGTGCCAGTCTTTGCACAGGCTTATCCCTCCGCACCCTCCCCCAAAACAAATGGCGGACAGAAGAAAAAAAAATAGTTGCTACAACTATTACTCTACGGAAATATTAGGGGTAGTGAAAACAAAGTTCTGACACTAAACTTTACTGAGCCCTGCATCCTGCCCACGACCCCTCAGCCACCTACCTATCTGGGCACTACCCACCTAACCGCCGCGGCCCCACCAGCCGGTAGGAATCCCCAGCGCCGCGATAGAACCAAGTCACTTCGGCGCGCCTCCTCACCTCGGGCGGCGCAAACGTTTGGTGTGTCTGCGTCTGGGGCGGAGCCTCTTGTCCCTCTGCGCGGCCCGTTCCGCCTTTCTTTTCCGCCCACCGCCTGTCGGCTGACGTGTCTGCAGTTCCTCCGCGTCTGCTGCAAGTGAGGCCGTGATGGCGGACGCCTGGGAAGAGATTAGGCGGTTGGCGGCCGACTTCCAGCGAGCGCAGTTCGCCGAGGCCACGCAGAGGTGCCTGACCGTCCCTCTCTTTTGTGGACCCCAAATTAGGCCGTGGGCTGACACGCCTGTATCTGGGACTTTAGACCCGCGGCCCTGCATCCCGGATCTTCTCACTGCTTGTCACCATTCCCTCCTCCTCCCTCCGCCCCGAGCCTGGATCGCAGTTCTAAGTCTAACGCTCGGCGGCCAAGTCCGCAGCCTAGGACGCCCTGGAGCCCCCAGCCGCAGCGAGACGCTGGCGCGCCCCGCCCCACCATGGACGGGGCAGGTGATTTCGAGCTGCCTTTATTGAGAGTTCCTCTGACCCTCCCTCACCCACCAGCCATCAAATCACTGTGACCTCTTGGCTGTTATACGCTTCCTGATCTAGAATGAGCTCCAAAGAAGAGGCTAATTTCCCCCCTCCCCTCCGACTCCAGTACAGTAGTTGGCAAATAGTATATTGACCCTTAAAACTTTTTGTCTTTTTATCTCTCGTAACAGACCTAGGGCTAGACCCATGACCCCATCTGTCATTCAGGTCACTGACATTTTCTACCAGCCCACTAACCTTTGGAGGATGTGTCCAGAGCAGCCTAACTCTGCTTTTTTAAAATAACGCTAATAGAAGCCTTTCTATTCTTTGACTACTTCCTACCTGCGATGTTTTATTCCTTTTGAGCCCGAAGACAGCAATCGCCTTATGCTGTGTTTTCTACCACTGATAGCAAATTCGTAACTGCATGGGTAACTTAACAGTAGCAGTTATGATTTCATTAGGCCACATCCCCTGCCTGCTTGCAGACCATGTGTGTAAGTGAGGCAATTATGCACTTAATTTAAAAGAAAATTCTGATTAAACTGGAAATTAAAGTAGGGCATTCTTTTTGTTTGTTTTTTGTTTTTTCTTTTTTCCTACCTCAGCAAATGTCTTCAATTTTCTATTCGGATTTGAAGATTGGAAGCAGGCCTGTAAGAGACAACAGACTTGAAATTTGTGATAGGATGATGTGTACCAATTAAATGATTTAAGCATATGTAAACCTACTTACTCTGAAAGTTTTTTTTTTAACTTATTGAATCAGTTAGTGAAAAACATAGATTTTGTGATGTAGAAATTAGTGACTACACAAACTTTTTAAAAACCTGTGTTAGTTTTGAGCACCAGTGTATCAAGTGGACTTTTGAAACTTAACTGTTTTTCTTTCCCTCAGGTTGTCCGAGCGGAACTGCATTGAGATTGTTAATAAGTTGATTGCTCAGAAACAGCTAGAAGTAGTTCATACACTCGATGGAAAGGAATATATTACTCCAGCCCAAATTAGTAAGGAAATGAGAGATGAGCTACATGTCCGAGGTGGTAGGTAATTCTTTAGTGTTTTTTTTTTCTTGAATTTTTGGAAGGGGCAAAACAAACAAAAACCTGTAAACATGTCATTGCATACTAAATTATAGATTATAAGATATCCTTTTCAATTGTTGATAATCAGGCTTAATATTTTTGGGGTTCATGTAAACGTGGTCATATAATTTAAATGAACTCAAATGTTATCACTTAACAAAATAGTTTATCATTTTGAGTTATGTGTACTATATGTGAATTGTTTCTTTTTACAATTCCTAATTTATTGCTTGACTCAGGGAAGGGTATTCAGCTGCCTGTTATTAGGTGGTAATTGTGAAGGGGGACAGTATCATACAGGATGATAGGTTTTTGAAAATCAAGGCTGTATTTCTCTTTAAGGCTTACTTGTACTTACAAATTAGATAACTCAATCCAGTGTGGTACTACACCAATCATATTGTATGAAATACTATTAAAAGCACACACACAGTTAGTTTCCTTTGTCTTCTTAAAATTTGAACAGAGTACCAGGCATATTTGAATACTATTTGATTAAAATAGAATTAACTATGAAAGCATCTCTTCATATTATCAGAGGGTAACATTGGTCTTTGTTTTTTTTTTTTTTAATCAATTTTCTTTCACAGTCCCTTTAAAATATGAGTTATAATTTGAAATTCTTAACAGATATTCTTATGCTGATATGTAGAAACCTAACGTTTAGTATCAAATAACTGAAAAAAGTTCATCTTAATTTAGCTGTCAATATCTCTTTGATCACAGTAGATAAATTCTGAGTTGTGAAGAGAAATGAATACCCTCCATAGATACAGCCAAGTTGTGTGCCAGTTGGTGCTCCTAATTGGCCTGATGTTATTTAAAAAAAAAAAAAAAATTTGGAAAGTAAATTATTGCTTGTGGCTTCAGCCATGAAGACTTACTCAGCCATCAGCTAATGGTGTGTGTTTGAAGACATTAATTATTCTGGCTTTCTGTTCTGTGCAGAAGGACTTTGACCAAAACTTAAATGTTAGAATTTGTAGCTTTGGGTTGGTGTGTACTCATATGTCATTTAAAATAAATGGATGTCTTTTCTTCAAAGGTCGAGTAAACATTGTTGATCTACAACAGGTAAGTTTTAAATTTATAAAAGTTTTGCTTTAATTTCTCAATTTTTGGATACTGTGAATTTGTTCAAGTATTCACTAATGCTGCTATCGTATTTTGTATAGTGTTTGTAAAGAAATAGTTATGTAAGTCTCACTGATACACTGAATTGATTTAATAAGTTCTGATACATTGAAATGATTTAATAAATTTTGATTTATTGAAATTATTTAATAAGTTGGCCTTATTAAAGAGTTGGCCAGCTCTTCCCCAGTTGGCTTTCTTATTATTAATTTTTTACCAAATGAAGTCATAGTTATCATCTTATGTAAGTTTATGTAATTTTGGGAGAAAAATCACCAGTTTCATGTTTATATGTTTTTAGTATATGAAACTAATAGAGAAATATTTTTAAAAGCAGAAGCTACTTTCAAAAAATACAAATATATATGTCATTACCAAGGTACACTATAAACAAGAAGTCAGAAAATTTTCTGTAAAATGCTGTCTGTTATATAAATATGTAATTTACTGCTTTATATAAACTTACTAGCAAGTGACAGTGTAATTCTTTAGAACTAAAAATAAATAAGCAATACACCTCTAATTTTTTATTTGGCCAATGCTTTTTGTATTATTTCAGATTGATTCAAAATTTAAGAATAAGCAATTTCTTTCTTTTTCTTTCTTTTTTTTTTTTTTTTGAGATGGGGGTCTCCCTGTGTTGCCCAGGCTGGTCTCAAACTCTTAAACTGAGGGGATCCTCCCGCCTCATCCTCCCAAAGTGCTGGGATCCAGGCATGAGCCACCATGCCTGGCCAGCAATTTCTTTAAAAATACAGTTCTAAGTGTATATCGTCAAACTTAAGAAACAATGCAAACTTATCACTAATAGAATTTGTGTTTGTTTTCCAGGTAATTAATGTGGACCTGATTCATATTGAAAATAGAATTGGTGACATTATTAAATCAGAAAAACATGTTCAGTTAGTGTTGGGACAACTGATAGATGAGTAAGTATAATGAAGTACAAATTTAGGAGCACTTCGTTGATTTTCTTTCTTTTTTTTTTTTAATAATGTTTAAATTTAGGCCAATTATGGCCAGTTAGACATTTCATTTAGAACTCTTACAGTGCTGATTTTCATGGTAAGGTTTATTTCACTTCACGAGTAAGTGCTTAAGCCACATATGGTGGCATGTACCTGTAATCCCAGCTACTCAGAAGGCGGAGGCTGGAGGATTACTTCACCAGGAATTTGAGACCAGCCTACGTAACAGCAAAGATCCTGTCTCAAATTAAAAAAAAAAAAAAAAATTTAGTGTTAATGTATGGAATACTTAGAAATAATATAGACTTCTATGTTTTTCCTAAGAAGAAAATGTAAAACATAACTTTTACATTCTTTCCCATGTAATCTTAACTCTGAAAGCAAATTTGTTCCAAAAATGTTAATGGAAATCGAATACAAATCTCCACTTAAAAAATCCCAGCATGCCAACCTGGCAACATGGCAAAACCCCATTTCACTAATTAAGTTTACTAATTAAAAAATTAGCCAGATGTGATGACTCGCACCTATAGTCCCAGCTACTCAGGAGGCCAAGGTAGGAGGATTGCTTGAGCCCAGGAGGTCAAGGCCACTGTAAGCCATAATCATGCCATAGCACTGCAACCTGGGTGACAGAGTGAGACCTTGTTGCCAAAAAAAAAAAAGAAAAAAAATTTATTGTTTGATTAACCTTACATTTAGCTACACTAATGAGAAAAAAATATTTTTTAAAATATGAGTGATGAGTGGTGTTCATGTACACACATATTTCATTACTTTTGGGGCATACTTCATTTCAACGGAAATTAAACATAAAATGAGTCAACAGAAAAAAATTCCTAATTCTTTTTTCTATTCTTTTCTTTTTTTCACTATTAGGAATTACTTGGATCGGTTGGCAGAAGAGGTAAATGATAAACTGCAAGAAAGTGGTCAGGTCACCATATCAGAACTGTGTAAAACCTATGATCTTCCTGGAAACTTTCTGACACAGGTATTTTTTTTCCTAATAATACAATATGTCTTTTTACCAAAGGATTTTAAACAAAGACTTTGAATGGAAGAGGGAAAAAACGAGACTTCCTTACCATCAGTTGATTTATTGCAGGTGTCTGACTTGATATATGTTGTAGCAGTATATTTGTGGGGTGCTTCTTGTACATTAATGGTTCTGTACACTTTAAAATGGTTAAAATGGTTCTGTACACTTTAAAATGGTTCTGTACACTTTAAAAATGATTGTAATCTTCCTGAACCAAGAGACATCCTAAAACTAATTTATAGACTAAGCTCTAGGGCTGCTTTGATGCAATTAGCAATTGTATA